GAAAGAAAAGCAAGGGTCTCCTGGTTGGCTTAATTACTGCATTAAAACTCTGACGGCTTATGCCACAGCAAATGGTCCAACACGCACATCAATCCTGGCCCAGTGAAATGAATAAGCCGTCTACTCTATATCAAATTTAATTATAGCTTTAATGCCCTTTGCTAATGCGAGTGGATTAACATTAGTTAATGCATTTCAAAAAAAAAAAACTTAACATTAATTAAGATGATATTTATAAAAAAAATTAATTAATGTAATGCTTTTTGTTGAATTTAATGAGAACAATGTATTAAATAAAAAATATATATTTTATTTATCCTCAACTAGTACTTATAAACTATTGTTAACCGATTCTTAGCTAAAATACTTTAATACATAAACCAAATTTTGTTTTACGGCTAATCCAAATAATTAAAAGTATATAAATAAGTATGATCAGTTAATTTGGTTTATTAATATTTAGTACTAACACCAAAATAATTACTTTTTTATAATCAGGATTTTGACAATAACTATGGAAATTCAAACACTTGTTAACTTCACTTTTGAAAGTTATATTTCCATTTAATAAAATATTAAAAATGATCACATTACTTATCAACTACTATATTTAATACAAAAATAATTCTATATATTATATTTGTACCGGCGCATTAATTACTTGAACTTCAAAGTCTTAAATTAATTGGTAAAAGTAATATAAATTTATACTTCAATTTAAGTTCCAAAATATCGAATTCATTGAACTAAAAAAAATATTATTTTTCGCTTTTAAAATTTACTCCTAAATAATAAACACGTGTGTCGCACGTGAACAACCCAAATACACAGATATTTTCTATTAAAGAAAAATAAAAACGAAAAACTTTTCGGCAAAAAGTGGAGATCGGAGAAACACGGGCAGTCTCATCAAGCACATACTGTGGTCCCAAACATATCATACTCGTTGCGTATCCTTGCTCTCAACTCAACCCATCCGTCCGATATAATCATAATCCAACGGGTCAAACCCGTCCACGCTCACTTCTCATTAACCTTTGATATACGAACCTTCTCATGGCTCCTATACGTCCACGCTCCCTCACTCATATCCCTTCGATTCAATTCAAATCTGACGGTTGATATTCTTTTGCAACACTCTCTTTCTAATTTACTCACTGTAACATTAATATCCCGCTCTTTTTCTCCACTCCAAAAATAAAAAAAAAACAGAGAAAATCTCTCTCAATTTGTTTATTATCGTATATTATACTACAGTACTATTTCTGTTCTCCATCTTTTTGTTTCAATTAATTTTTATATCAGAAAGAAATGCAAGAACAACCAACGAGTTCAATTGCAGCTAGTTCTTTGCCTTCAAGTAGTGAAAGATCTTCGAGCTCTGCTCTTCAAGTTGAAGTCAAAGAAGGTAACCTTTTTTATTCTCTCTGTTTTTCCAGCTATTGTTACATTAAAGCTTTAAAATTTCGACCAAAAATGGCTTATCTTTGTTCCTTGATTGTTTTTCCTTCCTTCCTACATCTTGATTTTGTAGAATAAGATGGTTTTTCTATGTGGATTTTATGAAGTTTTTAGCTTTCTCAACTGGGTTTTGTTTCTTTTCTCGAGAATCACTCTTCTCGAGAAAATCCATTGAGATCAACAGCATTTTCACATGTTACATTGCTTTCCTTTTAAGGAAAGAAGAAACGTTTCTTTTATCCTTTTTAGTTAAAAATCAGAACGTTTTTGTAAGGTATGGAAAGCGATGAAGAGATTCGGAGAGTGCCTGAGATAGGTGGGGAAGCGTCTGCAGTTCCAGCTGCCGGTCGAGAAGCGGGTTCTGTGGCCGGTCCGGACCGGGTTCAGCCGCTGGGGGAGGGTGGCCAGAGAAAGAGAGGGAGGAGCCCAGCGGACAAAGAAAACAAGCGCCTAAAGAGGTAAGATTTGGACGGAAGTGGGTTCATCCCGATATTACTGTTTTGCCCCCTTTTTTGGGGACGGTGGCATATTGGTGATTCTGTGTGTTTTTGGTGGGTGCTGGCAAGGTTGTTGAGGAACAGAGTTTCGGCACAACAAGCAAGGGAGAGGAAAAAGGCATATTTGAATGAGCTGGAGACCAGAGTTAAAGACTTGGAGAAGAGAAACACTGAGCTTGAAGAGAGGCTGTCCACATTGCAGAATGAGAATCATATGCTTAGACAAGTAAATTATTATTTTGTCAAATCCCCATCCCCATCACCATCCATAACATTACATTACATTACATAACATAACATCATCATCATCACCGTTCATTACCATCACCTCATAATTGTCCCTTGGATGGAACCAATTGGGTCATACTGTCACGGGGCGATTCCGTGACAATACATCCATGTTTCTTCTTATACTATCAAGATTCTCAAAATATCAATATCAAGGATAGAATATTAAAACGTATATCGGTGTTAATGCATATACAAATGTGCATATATAACCATCATGAAATGGCTTTATTACGTCATAATTTCTCAATTTGCATGTTATTCAGATCTAATTTCTTGTCCTCTGTTTCTTTTCCACCCCCAAAAAATAAAGAACTGAAAGATCACGAGCTTATCATTAATGGGGCATGTGGGGTTAGCCCACCTGGCCACTACTAGATGACGGATTTTTTGTCTGATCATATACAATGATGGGGCTTGAGAATATGTAGAAGTGAAACCCTAGCTAGTCTTTCCTTGTGGATGTGCTTCGGAAGTTTACTGGTGGCTGAAGCATTCCCTCTTTTTTTTTTCCCCGTTGGTTTCACTCAATATTTGGCCAAGGAATAGCATTTCTGCATATGGCCCGGAAGAGAGAAATGAAGGATGGTTAGGACATGACTATACTGGGCCTAGTTGATTAAGGAGAACGCTGTGGTTACGGCTCAGTTTTAATCAACTGGATTCAGTGTATGACTTGAGCCCAAGTTTTAGGCCATTGTTGGTTTTGTTGCATGTGTTAGCAATGAGTTAGGTTTTTGCGGATGTGATAAATATCTGATGCACATTAAATAACGTGGTAAGTAAGAAGAATGATCACCTTACCTTCATTGTAACTTGCAGATAGTGAAGAACACGACAGCGAGCAGGAGAGGAGGCAATGGCAGTTCAAATGCAGCAGCAGATGGAGCGCTTTGAGGAATGACTTGAGTATACAATTGATGGGAATTGAAACAAAAAAAAAAAGAACTTATGTAAAGAGACTTGTATTACCGATGCAATGAAGCAGCATGACTATAGAACTTTGGCAAATCTGAAATCCTAGATTATGATTGGGGCGACCACCGACACTTTTACCATCTAACGAATGTTTTAAATTTAGAGAAAACTAAAATGTTATCGTCTCACAATGATGGCAATGAAGAGTTCGCCTAATGGATTTATTTTAAGGCTTCCAACGGCTAAAACGAATCCATTCATCTGTCCAAAATTTGGTCAATGGGTTCATGCTGCTAGTATTTAATGGTAGTATCGGTTGTGGAAAAAGATGATGGAATTAGGTAGGGCGTCGCCCTGTCGGCAACAACAGCAGATGAGTTGCTAAGATTCTTAAAATTGTATTGAAAATCCTGTCAAAGGTAACACTGCAAAGTTGGCATTTTCAACCAACTCCTAAGATAAAATCATAATCTTAAATCCACTCTTCTTGGGTCTCCCATTTCAAGATTATCTTCAATCTTCACACCTTGTCAATAGGATAGGTGCTGCTTTATCTCATTTGATTAATTCATTCTCTTTACTATTTTCTCTTGTAATTTTAAAGCCATAAAAGATCAAAGGAATTTCAACCCAGCTGCATTTCGTGCCCTGATTGAAAACAAAAATAATTCAATGTAAAATTTAATTATTTATTTTCTAAAATAAGAATGGGGACACCCATAAGGCCATAACTACCTATGTTCTTTCTTAAATAATAAACCTCTAATTTTGCACCATACCTTCTGCTCTTTGCTAACTGCTAATTATTGTCCTCACCCTAACCAATAAATCTGCCTTTGATATTATTTTCAATTTCCTATTCTGAAGCTAAAAGCGTGTGTCGTATCAACTGAGAACAAAAGAAAAACAATATCCTATTTGATTAAACTCGCATACCAAATGAAGTAATATCAATTAGTAATATTCAATCAAGGCAAAAAAAAAAAAAGAGTGCAGAAATATTAAATAATAATTTATAATTATCTGAATTTAAAAAATATCTTCAAAATTTTAATTTCTATTTGAGTAAAACCCAAAAAAAAAAAGAGGGAAAGTTTGAGAGCATGATTTGCCCAGCACCAGCAGCCAGCATTGCTGTTTTCTTTTAGAAGGAACTACACGCAGATCGACTCGTGTGTCGAGTTCATAATGAGCAGAGGGTAAAGTTGTAAAATCGTAATTAGTTGCAAGCACAGAAAAACAAGAATAAAAAAATTAAATCCAACATAGAGAAATTGCATCCACCGACACCCGCTGGAGCGGCAGATGGGAAGTACCGGCTATAACCGGTTACTTTTTTAGAACAGGCTGTTACCAGCAAAGGAAGACGTTTTAGAATGTCTCGTTGTTGTCCTTTTCATGAAAGAAACTGGTTAACTAGCAGGTGGATACGTGTATTATTGGTATTGGCTCGTTAAGCAAACGGTCAAACCGGAGTTCGACTGTTATTCTTACAAGACCCAATGGTAGTCTGACATATCATTGAGCTTATGGTAGTACATTTTAAGTTCGTTTAGTTTTTGATGGACATCAATAGTACGTGGCTTACGAGTCGTGGCTAAAAGCTAAACTGCTAGGTACGGATGTTTATACGGTGCTCACATAATTAATCTTTTGTTTTTGAAAAGCTACTCACATAATTAATCTTTTACTTAAAAGATAAATATGCTTTGCAGTAACTAAGTATTTTAGATTTATTAGCATTCAACTTATCTCTTTTGAGGATTATTTCACTTAATTTTTGTTGTATTTAATCAAGTGTATCATTTATTAGCACATTATTCTTTATTTCTTTCTCTTATTTTTTAAAAATTATAAAAAAAAATAATCATTTAATTAGAGCAATTAAAGGCTTGTTAAGTAGACATTGGGAGGTTAGTATAAGTCATATATAAAGGGAAGGGAACAAAATTGCTGATTTTATGATTAATCTAGAATTTGAGTTAAATTCTCGTATTATATTGTATGACTCTTCACAAAAAAAAATATCCTGCCTATTCCTGAATGATATAATGAGAGTTTATACTCCAGGTTTCATTAATCAATAAAATTTACTTTCAAAAAAATATTTTTTTTAAAAATAAAATCCTATCATTTCTATGTGTGTGTATATATGCATGTTTTATTTGTAATTAAAGAAGAAAATAATTATGTTTCTTTCAAAAAAATAAAAAGTTTAAAATAAAATTTAAGATTTAATATATTAAGTAATTAACATTAACTACAAATTTATTTGATTAATAGCCATTTGTGATTGATTGATATGTTTCTATTTAAAATTTTATACAAGATTTATCAACTATACCATCAAGCAATTTCAATTGTATTATTTTATTCAATCAAGTATACTTTTATAGCACATATTATTTCATTTTTTCATGTTTTATATTTTTTTCTTTTTTATAATTAAGAGAAAGAAGATTTGAACACACAAGAAGATCATGCACCAACTAATAAACTGAATGCTTGAGTTCCTTCATTCTTTTATTGTTCAAAATATTGCAATAAAAAATATATTTTATTAGATATTGAAATTGTAAATTTATTATTTCAGAGTATTTAGATCAATGATAAGAGCATACATTTCAGCTCAAAAATTTGAATTCAAATCTCCAACTATTCAAATAAAATTCTAAATCTATTTATATTATTAAGGTGTATATTTACAGCGATAATCATGATTTAATTCTTTTCTCTTCCTTCTAAAACCTTTCTTCAACTCCTATTTCAATCTCCATTTGAAAAGCCCATCCACTCTCAACTTAATTTCCATTGATGAAGATAATAATTATTTTTTTATTTACATATTTTCATTTATTATCATATGTCACAACTACCCAACGAGATCATATCGTGCCAATACATATATTTTTTTTCTTTGAAAGTTTAGAATGATTAATAAATAGAAGAGAAAAATGATTATTATTGAACATACTATCGATAGAGTTTTTAAGCTTCAAAATTATTAAAAAATTATCATAATATATTTTAAAAAAATTAATATGACAAATAAAAAGATATGTGCCACTATTTTAATACTGTTTGTGAAATTTAAAAATTGCATTGGCTATGCATATATAGAATAATAGTCCAAGAAAGTAAGAATAATAAGAGAAAAATATTTTAACAATTTTACAAGTAATAAAAAGAGTTTTTAAAAAAGATGAGATATATCCGAGAAGAAGAAGGAGGCCATAAGCTGTGAGCCGTATAGGTTGTGAAATGAGCAAGCCGAGTCCACTTAGGTAGTAGGCAGTAGCAACTGGTTCACCCGGTGAAGATCCCTACATCACGAAAAAGAATAATGACATTAAAATAAACAGAAAAAAGTATCGATAAAAAGACAAAGCCATTGAGCCCAAGATCGAGAGAGTAATATACAAAGCCATAGCTGGAATGAGTGGAGAGATGATAGAGATGGCGTGTTGAATGGGCGACGATTTTCACAGCTTTTGTCTTAGCCCATCCCACACTTACATTTCCTTCTAAAACCTCTCTTTCCCTCTCGATCTGTGAAAAACATGGAAGCAAGTGCCGGTATGGTGGCCGGCTCCCACCGGAGGAACGAGTTGGTTCGGATTCGCCACGATTCTGATAGTGGGGTTTGTGTTTTCAGCTTGCCCATTTTTAGTTTCAGCCCAGCCTTCTAGTTTCATTCTTTTATTTGCTTTGCATTGTGGTGTTTAGATCTGAGTTTGTTATCATGGAAAGTGACTTTTCAGCTTAAAAGCTTAGACCGTTTTGTAGATATGGAATTTGCGTAGTCGTTGCATAATTTTGATAGCTTAACTTCGATGATTTCGTTAGCGTTGAAAGTGATTTTATTGTTGGTTTAGATCTAAATGTTTGTTGGGTGAAAGTTCATTTACGGTTTAAAGTTTGGTATTTGTTTTGGTTAACTGAGGAAGTAAAGAAGTGGGTAGTGATCAAAATTGGATCTTGAAATTTTACCTATATTTTTTAGCCTCGATTCATTTATTTGTCGTGTGGTGAAGTTCTAAGTTTTACAAATTGTCTTATTAGAATTCGATGATTTGCCGTGGCTCTGGTTTTATTGGACCATATACGTGTCTCCATGATATTCCCTTTAACCTAATGGCTTGGTTTGGTTGAAGTGTTCAAATGGTGGGAATTCTAATGGCGATCATTGTCTATTGATAATGCAGCCCAAACCGCTGAAGAATTTGAATGGACAGACATGTCAGATCTGTGGCGACAGTGTTGGCCTCACAGCTGCAGGTGATGTCTTTGTTGCTTGCAATGAGTGTGCCTTCCCAGTTTGCCGGCCTTGTTATGAGTATGAACGGAAAGATGGTACTCAGTGTTGCCCCCAGTGCAAGACCAGATATAAAAGGCATAAAGGTTTTTGTTTTTGTTAGATTGTTTTGTTTTGAATTCTTTTTCATAATATGGCTTGTAACTTCTTATATCATGTTTGTAATAAGTAATGTCTGTATGTTTCAGGGAGCCCCCGAGTTGAGGGAGATGATGATGAGGATGATGTTGATGATTTGGAGAATGAGTTTGACTATGCTCAAGGACACAGTAAGGCAAGACGGCAGTGGCAGGGTGAAGATGTAGATCTTTCTTCATCCTCTAGACATGAATCTCAACAACCAATCCCCCTTCTCACCAATGGCCATTCGGTAGGCATTTTATGTGGTTCAGTTATTGATGTCATGAAGTTTTCATGAAGCTTGCACAGAAGCTGTTGTTTTTCTTCTTTAATACACTCTCCTCTATTATTGGGTGTTACGCACTGCTGTTTCAATGACTGAGTTACAGTATCCAAGTTGGAAAAGTATTACAAGCCATGTGAAATCAAGTCATCCATTGTGGTTTATCTTAATTGAATTTTAATTGACAAAGTCATTTCATGCTCGCTTGGTTTTGTGGGGTTTCTTATCTCCTCACTAATGTTCCTTAAAAAAAACTTTCAACGTCTATGCAGCGGTTATATGCATTGCAAGCTTGCTAGTTCTTTTGTTCATTAGCCATTGAACTTTTATGTATAGCCTAGTTTGATTTAATCTTAAGATATGGCTTTTATATTTGTAAAAGTGACTGGTTTTGTTAATATATGCTCTGGTGATTTACATTGAGATTAGGATTCCTCACTGGTTTT